ATGTACATGTATGTTTTGAATCTCCAAGGCAGGTAATGGTTGTAAGAGGAAGTGGGGTGGGAAGGAACTTCCTGGTATTCCATCATTTTGAAGAACATTGGGGAAATCCTGGTAAAGCCAAGCCAGTGTCTCCCAACCACCTGTGTGCTCGTTTCCCCTTCTTGGTCTCAGTTTCCTCTTCTGACAAGTGGGGAGAATGATCCCTTACCTTTTCTACCTCCTAAAGCCTCTGTGGAGTTCACCTTCATCACATCTCTGCAGCCACTGCAGAAAATAGAGAGATGAGCTCGAGAAGTAGCCATGTGCTAGCTCAGGCTACACAAATGACTGGAGCGAAGTGGAGCCAGAGCATTTTAAGTTCAGAGGGAACAGGGCACCCTCACTGGGTTCCACTGGCCTCCTTTTCACAGCTACTGAAAGAGGTGATCTTATCAAGCCACAGCTTGCAGAGCACCTTGTTTCCGCATCCTATAATTTTCTTAAATGGTCTCCAGCTGGGTGATAGCCCCTCATGGGAATTTCTGCCCCACTCTTTCCCTAAGACCCATACGAGATCAGCTCACTACTCAGACGTCTCTGATGGCTCCTGGGAGTCTCAAGAACGATGCTTGAGTTCCCGAGCCCATGCGCTCCCCTGCATTCTCCACAGGAGGCAGTGGTGGGACAGATGAGTCTCTGGGTCTCATGTGGGTGTGATATGTTCGCCCTTATCCTTTCTCCTGCCACCATGGGTCTAGATCGTCCTCCTCCCCCTCCACAGGGCTCTGATCAAATTCCAGCTCTTCCAGGAAGTCCTTTTACACATTCCTAAGGTCCTCTATGTTAGTAACATACCTTTTAGCACAGCTGTTCTCCAGATGTTTGAACTTCATGGGAGTAAGTTCTTTGAGAAGAAAGAACCACCACCTCTCCAACACCACCTGGGAAGGTCTGAGCTCGCAGCAAATGCCAGGGAAACAGTTGCTAAGGTATTTGGTTCATCTCCTATTACACACACACACCCAGCCACAGGGCCTGAGCATTTGCTCTAGCCCCATCTTCGTGTGGCTGAGGCCAGTCTGGCCTCGGCTTGAATGTCACCTCAGAGATGACTCCTTAACAACTATATCTTAAGTAGACCCTATCACGTTGCCCGGTTTTAGTCTCATTATAGCATTTGGATTGCCTACGTGGTTGCTTTTGTCCATATTCTACTTCCTCCTCCCTGCTTAGATGATAAGCTTGCAAACACCAGAACCCATCTCTTCGACTCATCCTCATAACCTTAGTACCTATTCCTGTGTCTGGCATGTGGCAAGTGCTCATTTTTGGTTAAATTAAAAAAGGAACAAATTATACATTCTCACACAGTAATCTGAGAAGTTACTGTTTGACAGATGAGGAAACTGGGGTCCAGAAAAGGGAAGTGATTTGCCCCAGGTCACTCAGAGAAGCAGCATCAGAGTTGGGACCAGAATCCAGGTTCATCAGACTCCCAGTCAAGCAGTAGCTTCATCCCACCATGATCACTCTTGGTCCTAACTAATCCCCACCTCCCAGCTCCCTGCCCCAACGCTCTCCACCACAAACACAGAGCCTCCATTACCTGCTGCTTACCTTCTGCTCTGGATATCTCCAACCAAAGTCCATAGCAATCCCTGGCTCACCCAGAACTCTGCAGGTCACGTTGAAGTTTTCTCCTAGTTGGACTGATGTTGTTGAAGGTTGGTTGGCAGGTTTGGGGGAGGAAGATGGCTCTGCCACGGTTAAGAGGATAGAGAAGTTAGAGACAAACATGTCGACTTGATTGTTCAAATTGTTGAATTGATGGCAGGTAGAGGGATGGAGAGATGGGTGAATGGAATGCGTGGGTAGAATGGATAGAGGGTGAATGGTTGAGGTGGTTAAATTGATAGAGGGTGTGTAGATGTATGAATGGGTATAACAAATTAATGGAGTATGGGTGGATGATGGAATGATTGAGTGATGGAGGATATATACATGGAATAGTTTGACTTGATTGTGAATAGGTCAGTGGATAGAAAGGCTGAGCTGGTGCTGGCTGGCTCCATGGCTGATCGGCTGGCTGGAGAACATGGTTGACTACATGGAGTATTATTGAAAGCTGATGTTGTTTAGTGCTCCATAATCCACAGAGCTGAAACTGAAGGTTCCTGAAAAAGGTATCTCTCCCCATTTCCTCCCCTTCCCTGCCCACCCAGAGCCCTAGACCCATGCATAATTGATGTTGACCAGCATGTACTTGGTAGAGATTTGCCTCATGCCGCCTAGGCTGGCCAAGCAGAAGAGGGAGCCAGCCAAGGGGCCCTGGGGCCTGTGGATGGTGAATCCCTTCTTCACATCAAAGGAGATGTCTGTCTCATCCACTGGGACTTCCTCAGCAGGGAACTCCCAGTGCATTGTCACCTGGGCCAGGGGGTTGGTCACTTGGCAGGGAAGCAGGGCTGGATGATGAGTGCACAGCTGTACCACCTCACAGTAGTTCTCTGTAGGAATAAAAAGCTCCTCAGGGTCTGGGAATGAGGGAGAAAGATTTGTTGCTTCCCAGTGGTTCTACCACCACCCAGGAGCATGAGGTCTTTACTGGAGACCCAAAACCCCACTTTCTGTTCCCATCCCCATTCTCTATGCTCCTTTCTCTCTTGTAAGGAAGGGGTCCTAGACTGAGGATGCTAAAGACAAGCCTCCTAGTTCTAGCTCTGTCATTAGTTTACTGTGTGCATTAAAGAAATCTTTTCCTTTCACCACATGCAAGCATGCACCATGCAAGGATTCAGACTGCTTGATTTTTAAGAGCCCTTCAATGCAAAAAATGTAAAAAAGGTTGTAGGAAATACTGAACTTGAAGTCAAGGTTTGATTCCCAATCCTACTAACCGCTAGCTGTAGGACCCTGGTTCTTCTCAAATGTCAGTTGGGAGCAATAATCCCACCTGGCCTACTTTGTAGAACTGATAAGAAGCAAATGAGATGTTGGCTATTAGCATGAGGCCCATAAGAAATAAACATTTATCAAACTCTATCAGGGGGCTTTTTATTTTATTTTTTTGAGAAAGAGTCTCTCTCTGTCACCCAGGCTGGAGTGCAGTGGTGCCATCTTGGCTCACTGCAACCTCTGCCTCCCAGATTCAAGCAATTCTTCTGCCTCAGCCTCTTAAGTAGCTGGGATTACAGGCACTTGCCACCATAGCAGGCTAATTTTTTGTATTTTTAGTAGAGACGGGTTTCGCCATGGAAGCCAGGATGGTCTCGATCTCCTGACCTTCTGATCAGCCCGCCTCAGCATCCCAAAGTGCTGCAGTAACAGACGTGAGCCACCATGCCTGGTCAGGTAATTTTTTTTTAAGTGTTAACAGTTACATGCAGTAGTTATTTTAATTATTCTGGCAAATGATACTGCTTTTCTGTTTGTGGTAGGATATAATAATTTTCCTTTAGTAAGTTTATTTCTGTGAGGAAGTGAGCTGAGTTACAGAGAAGTAGTAAATAGTCCTCAGCACAGGTGGTTCATGGGCCTGCCCAGATTCCTGGGGTGGGACCTGGTGGGGAGGTGCGGTCGGTGCAGGTGATGTGACTCGGTGTGATGACACCAGGTCGCCTCCACCAAGTCCCCAGTGAAGGATTATTGTTAAAGTGCAGCAGACTGATTTTCCTTTCATTTAGAACAAGACAGCATGGACTTAAAAGTGGAGTCTGAGACACACTTTGGCATTGCCCACACTCGCTGGGCCACCCACGGGGTCCGCAGTGCTGTCAACAGCCACCCCCAGCGCTCGGACAAAGGCAATGGTACGTGGCATGCTTCCCCATCCCCATGGTTTCACTTCACCCTGAGCTGTGTCAGGGCCAATTCCTGCCAGAGCAGATTCCACGGCACCTGTAAGTGACTTCTCAGCCTGCTTCATTTTTCCAAGAGAATGCAGATGTCCCATATCCCAGAGCTCTGCTGGTGGCCTCAGGATGCAGGCAACCTGTTCCCAGGGTGGTGCTGGCCTCCTGAGAATGCACAGGAAAATGATGGCACTTAAAACCAGGAGAGCTGCTGGCTCCTTGGAACCCAGCCCATGAGTGGGTTGAGGCCACATGACGGACTGAGGGTCCTGGGCACTGTTCCCCCACAAGAGATGGAAATGTTCCCCAAGGCTGTGCCCTTCTGGGAAGGATGGGTTCTGTCCTCATGCAGCTAAACCCACCTCTTCCCCGCAGAATGGTCTAGGTGAGGGCAGCGGCTGTATTGGTCTTGGATGGTGTCGGAAGCACCATGAGCCCCAGCAGGAGACCTCAGCAGCCAGGGGCTTAGGGTTTGGAGAAGTGGGGGCTGCAGTAAAATTAAAAGTTAAAAATTAAAATTAAAAGTTGACTAGCTTTTAATCAACCTTTGGCCACTGCATCAGATGCTCCTGTTGGTGCATTAGAACTGTACTGTGAACTCCTTGTCACTATCACATTTAAATACCAGGTCAGCAATGGATCAGGATAAAGTTTAAAAATAAACCCAGACAAATAAGACCAACTTCTTTCTACAAAGTTGCCAAGGTAGTTCAGTGGGAAAGGATAGTCCTGTCAATAAATCATGTCAATAAATGATGTTGGGGGCTGGGCACAGTGGCTCATGCCTATAACTCCAGCACTTTGGGAGGCTGAGGTGGGAGGATCACTGGAGGTCAGGAGTCTAAGACCAGCCTGGGAGACTCTGTCCTAAAAAAATGATGTTGGAGCAACTAGCTATTCCATATGCCAGAAAATGAAACTTGGCCAGGCACAGTGGCTCACACCTGTAATCCCAGCACTTTGGAAAGCCAAGGTGGGTGGATCACAAGGTCAGGAGTTCAAATCCAGCCTGACCAACATAGTGAAGCCCCATCTCTACTAAAAATACAAAAGCAATTAGCCAGGTGTTGTGGCACAAGCCTATAGTCCCAGCATTCGGGAGGCTGAGGCAGAAGAATCGTTTGAGCCCAGGAGGCAGAGGTTGCAGTGAGCCGAGATCATGCCACTGCACTCCAGACTGGGCAACAGAGCAAGACGCTGTCTCAAAAAAAAAAAGAAAAAGAAAAAGAGAAAAGAGCGACACAATCCCATCGCACATCTGTTAGAACAGCTACGGTTTCTTTAATGGCAATACCAAATGTTGATGAGGACGGAGAACAAATGGATCTCTCATACATTATTGGTGGGAATGCAAAATGGCGCAACCACTTAGGAAAACAGTTTCTCAAAAAGCTGAACATCCTCTTACCATATGATCCAAATAGGAATGAAACTTATGTCTACACGAAAACCAGCACACATGTTTATAGCAGCTCTGCTCACTACTGCCAAATACTAGAAGCAGTCGCAATGTTCTGCGCTAGGTGATTGGATAAACAAACTGGTACATCTGTGCGGTGAAATACAGCTCCGCCGTAGAAAGGAATGAAAGGGAGAAAACAAAAGGAATGAACCGTTAATATACACAGAAACTTGGATTGATCTCAGACATTATTCTGAGAAAAATCCAGTCTCAAGGTTATATAAAGTATAATTACATTTATTATTACATTCTCAAAAAGCCAAAGCCTTATTGTTGCAGAACAGATGAGTGGTTGCCAGGGGCTGGGGTGGGAGACTGTGTGACTCCAGAGGGGCAGCACTTGGGAGTTTGGGGAGTGGTGGAACTGTTCTGTATCCTAATTGTGGTGGAGCTGAAACTCTGCATGTTAAAACTCACAAGAGTTAATTTTACTGTGTGTTAATCTTAAAAAGAAGTTCAGCCAGCAAAAGTATGCAAAAGTCATCCTTTCCTTACAAGATTTGCTTCATTTGTGCCCTTGCTGGCGTTGCATCCAAGTTGCAGCACTTGGAGCAGGCAAGGCAGGGGGCCGAGGAGCGGAGCCACAAGCTGCAGCAGGAGCTCGGCGGGAGGATCGGCGCCCTGCAGCTGCAGCTCTCCCAGCTGCACGAGCAATGGTAGGGGCCTTGCAGCAAGCCTAGGCTGGGGCGTGGCTCAGGACGGACTGGGAAGAATTGGGGGCAGGTAGTATCCTGCTTCAGCATTCACCCCTGCAGGTTTAGTGTGTTATTCCTAGGGCGCTCCCTCCTCACAGGGCTCCTCACGTGGTCCAGCTAGCCTCCAGGAGGTCTGGCCACTCTCAGACCATGGTCCCAGGTTGTAGCCTTTATCATCCTTGACCAGCCCTTTCCAAAATAACAACTTTGTCAGTGTCTAGCAGAAAGCCACCTTTCACCTATCCTTTGCTGATGTGACCATCATATAATGTTATGCACAGTTCATCTATAGATTTTTTTAACAGTCTCACTCTGTCATCCAGGCTGGAGTGCCAGTGGCGCAGTCTCTGTGCCTGCAACCTCTGCCTCCCAGGCTCAAACAATTATTGTGCCTCAGCCTCATGAGTAGCTAGGCCTACAGGTGCAAACTAACACACCCAGCTAATTTTTGTGTTTTTAGTAGCGACAAGCTTTTGCCATGTTGGCCAGGCTGGTCACAATCTTCTGGCCTCAAGTGATCCACCCATCTCGACCTCCAAAACTGCTGGGATTACAGGCATCAGCCACTGCCCGGCCTACAGATTTTTTGAGATAGTATAAATGCCAAGCTAAAAGCCTGATGTCGAGAGAAGAGATAGAGTCATCTTTATTCCCACAAAGACAAAGAAGACCCCAGGGGTTCCAGCAGTGCCCCCCGGGCCACTCAGCTGGTACAAGGGAGGAGTCAGGTTCAGACTGAGGCTCACTCCTGGCCTCCCTCCAGGATCCTCCATTGTCAGCCTGGCCACAGGATATAGAACACAGAATGAGGCTGGGCTCAGTGGCTCACACCTGTAATTCCAATACTTTGGAAGACCGAGGTGGGTCGATCACGAGGCAGGCGAATCATGAGGTCAGGAGTTTGACACCAGCCTGGCCAACATGGTGAAACCCTGTCTCTACTAAAAATATAAAAAATTAGCCAGGTGTGGTGGTAGGTGACTGTAATCCCAGCTCCTCGGGAGGCTGAAGCAGGAGAATTGCTTGAACCCAGGAGGCGGAGGTTGCAGTGAGCCGAGATCATTCCACTGCACTCCACACTCCAGCCTGGGCAACAGAGCACATCTCAAAAAAAAAAGAAAAGAAAAGGAAAAAAGAAAGCAGAATGAATTGGCCAGCGCAGTGGCTCATGCCTGTAATCCCCGTACCTTGGGTAGCCAGAGCAGGATCACTTGAGCCCAGGAGGTTGAGGCTACAGTGAGCTGAGGTTGCACCACTGCTCTCCAGCTGGGGTGACAGAGCTAGACCCTGTCTCAAAAAAAGAAAGAACGAATTTTGAACTTCCTTTCTTCAGATCTCTGTATCAGGGAAGTGTTCTGCTTCTGTGGTCCTAAGTGTTCTAGAGCTCTCTTTCTTCTCTCCTGTGTAAGTGACCAGTGTGTCCCTGCAGGCTTTTCTCTCCCTGGTTTCTGCTTTTTTTTGTGGAAGGGTAGGTGACCCTGGGGGAGACGGAAGCCTTGCCGAAGGGTTTAGATGCTCAAGTGGCAATTCAGAGAGTTCTCCGTTTCCTAGATAATGAATCGGGTTGTGGATCTTCCATGAAAATCTCCCACTGGGACTAACTCAAGTTCATTTTGGGGAAACAGCTCAAGCCTAGAGAAAGAATTGAAATCAGAAAAAGAGCAAAGACAAGCTCTTTAGCACGAATTACAGCACAAGAAAGACACTTCCTCTCTACTCAGAACAGAGCTACAACAATGGAACGATTGCCAAAGGTGAGGTGGGCCAGCCTGGGAGAGGAGAGCTTCTGGCAGCCCCAGAAGCCCCTACCGTGCTCCTGGCAGGCTCCTCTCCCTGCCCCCTTTGTGTGGGAGTCAGGCAGCTCCAGGGTGCAGGGAGGCTGTTCCTCGCCTAGGGAGTTCCTGTTTTAGGAGCTTAAGGCAAAGACAAAGTATAAGCCACTAAGCCTGCTGACCAGCTCAGATAAAGGTGAGTGCCATGAAGACAATAAAACAGAACAGTGTCCTCGCTCGCCTGTGTGCAGGGGTCTGGGGAGGGAGTGGTTGGTGCGCAAAGGCCCCAGTGAGTGATGCCCTGCAAAGCACCTCTGGAACAGAGACTGCAGGAGCAGACAGGAGTGTGAGGAGCAAAGGGGAGGCCTTAGGCGGCAGGCAGGAGGGAGCCCTTCACAGGCCCTGTGAGCCGGGGGAGGAACGTGAGTGTTATTCTGAACACGATGGGAAGCTGCTGGAGGGACAGGATCCATTTCATTCGCGGACAGTCATTGGCTACTGCGTGGAGAGTGGGTGGTAGGCTTGCAGGAGAGGAAGCTGGGAGGAACCAGTAAACATCTTCGACCACGTGCCAGTCCTCACCTCAGCCACTCTGCCCAAGGTCAGGTCATCCCTGGGAAGCAGATTGACACTGCCCTCCACTTCCTCAACATCACCTCAGTCCCCTGGAACACCCTCTCACTTAGAGGCATGGCCTGGATGCTGTGGGCTTCAGAGGGCGAGAGAAGTAGGGTCCAGCAGGCCTTCACCGTCTGGCTGTGGAGTTGGACCTCCCAGGAAACTCCGAGGCAGTGTGAAACATTTGCCCTAATGTAAAATCATCGGCTGTCTTTCCAGAGGGGAGGAGGCTCTGTGATCCTGGACAGAGCTGACTGCAGCCCAGGGCGCTATGGGGGGCTCCTCCCTTGTGGGGATGGGCTGCCCTCTTCTCAGGCCCCTGCACTGCTGAGTGCTGCAGCACAACTGAGCCCAAACTGAACTCTCAGCACCTTCCCAGGAGGGGCCTTCAGGGCTGGAATGACTTCTGGACCTGGATTTTGTTGCATTGAACATGGTAATGGACACCACTGCACGAGTCGAGTGAGTCAGGAAAGGCCCTTTTGATTTCTAGTGGAAAGTGCCTGGAGTTGTTGGGGAAGGGAGAGCTTCCTCAAGAGCCAGGTCAGGCTTGGAGAGTGGAAGGGAGGAAATGGAGGGCAGAAGAGGACTTTTAGAAAGTTCTGCCTCATCCCGGGGCATACCTCCTTTATTCTGCTCTGCTTCAAAACGCTTCAGTCAAAAGCTTCTAATTACACAATTACAGCCTGCCCCAACGACAGGAACAAAACAATGTGTAATATCCCCAGTGAAGCCCCAGCGTGCCTCATGAGTGTGTGCACAGAAGCAGAAGCTGCGGCACAGGGTGAGCAGGGAGCCGCCCCCGCGCAGGCCTAAGTTCCACCGTTGCTCTCCATGGTCCTAAAAATCCCAGTTACTTTCTGAGTCTCCGTCCTGGCCTTACCAGCCCGGCTCAAGGTGCCCTGATCCCAGGTGTCAGTGTCATTGTCCCTGGGGAGCTGCTTCCCTGCAGGGCTCCTCACATGGTCCAGCCAGCCTCCGGGGGTTGGACCATAAAATGAGGCCCAGGTCACTGTCTACATCACCCTTGACAAGTGCTTTCCAAAAAAGCAGCTTTTTGAGAGTTGAACAGAAAACCACCTTTCAAACTAGTCTCTGCTGATGAAAGCTTCGTATAATTTTGTGTATGGTTTCTCTATAGATTTTTTGAGATGTTGATCTGTTTTATAAACAGTTTTAAAAAGAAGCTCAAATAGGTGAAGCCTCATTTGTCCTGTGAGGGTAACTTTTTTTTTTTTGAAATGGAGTCTTGTTCTGTTGTCCAGGCTGGAGTGCAATGGCACAATCTCAGCTCACTGCAAGCTTTGCCTCCCCAGTCCAAGCAATTCCTGTGCTGCAGCCTCCCAAGTAGCTGGGATTACAGGCATGTGCCACCATGCCCTGCTAATTTTTGTATTTTTAGTAGAGGAGGAATTTCACCATGTTGGCCAGACTGGTCTCAAATGCCTGACCTCAGGTGATCCACCCACCTCGACCTCCCACAGTGCTAGAATTACAGGCATGAGCCACCATTCCCAGCCAAGGGTAACTTCTTTTTTTTATTTTTTTATTTTTTTTGAGATGGAATCTCACGCTGTTGCCCAGGCTGGAGTGCAGTGGCATGATCTCAGCTCACCATAATCTCTGCCTACCAGGTTCCAGCGATTCCCCTGCCTCAGCCTCGCAAGTAGCTGGAATTACTAGCATATGCCACCATGCCCAGCTAATTTTTTTGCATTTTTAGTAGAAACTGGGTTTCACCATATTGGCCAGGCTGGTCTTGAACTCCTGACCTCAGGTGATCCACCCTCCTCAGCCTCCCAAAGTGCTGGGATTACAGCCTTGAGCCACTCCCAGCTCCGAGGGTAACTATTTTTAATGTGGCTGATGAATGTAGCTATCCTGTCCCATGTCTCTGTCCCAACGGCAGCGTTCTGGAGTGCTTTCCTTCCAGCTGCCCAGTGTCAAGAGTAAGCTAGCAAGAAATAATCTTGAAGAACATTAATATAGGACTGCATTTTGCTCTTTTCTTGTTTGTTTTGTTTTGTTCTGTTCTGTTTTTGAGATGGAGTCTTGCTCTGTTGCCCAGGCTGAAGTGCAGCAGCAGGATCTTGGCTCACTCCAACCTCCACCTCCCAGGTTCAAGCGATTCTCTTGCCTCAGCCTCCCAAGTAGCTGGAATTACAGGTGTCCGCCATCACTGTCAGCTAATTTGTTTTTGTAGACACAGGGTTTCACCCTGTTGTCCAGGTTGGCCTCGAACTCCTGACCTTAGGTGATCTGCCCACCTCGGCCTCCCAAAGTGCTGGGAGTACAGGCCATGAGCCACTGTGCCCAGCTGCCTTTTGCTCTTGAAAAACGTTCTGATCTGCTTGTTGCTCTGGTTGCTAAATCTTTAAAAAAATAAATGCCAGGTGCAGCATCTCATGCCTGTAATCCCAGCACTTTGGGAGGCCGAGGCAGGTGGATCACAAGGTCAGGAGATCGAGATCATCCTGGCAAACATGGTGAAAACCCTGCCTCTACTAAAAATAACAAAAAATTAGCTGGGCATGGTGGCACATGCCTGTAGTCCTAGCTACTCTGGAGGCTGAGCCAGGAGAATTGCTTGAACCCAGGAGGCGGAGACTGCAGTGAGCCAAGATCGCACCACTGCACTACCAGCCTGGGCAACAATGCATGACTCCATCTCAAAAAAAAAAACAAAAAAAAATTCTTTGTAATCCTCTGTCCAGCAGCATCTGGTTGGTTTGTTCATTTTAGGAGTTGTGGGAGCTTCAGGATGAGAAGGCAGAACTGCAGAAGATCTGTGATGAGCAGGAACAAGCCCTCCGGGAAATGGGCCTGCACCTCAGCCAGTAAGAATCCCACTCCCCTCATCTGCCTCTGCAGGCATGCCAGTCTACCCACCACATCCCTCAGGCCCCAAACCTACCTCCTTTTTGGCAAAAGGAGGGTGGGCTGTTTAGGAGCCCTATCCGCTGTTCACCAATGAGCTTTCAGCAGGCTAAGCCTCAGAGTGACCCAGCACTGATTTCTGCTAACCACATGGGGATGTTAGTCAGCTCTTAGTTAATTCATTGAGCACATCCATTCCTAGTGATCAGGACACTCCTGTTCCTTAGCTTCATATCCAGAGCCTTAGGGAACAGATAGGCAATGAGAGGGTTGCTTGGTCAGCCTACGGTCAGGCCAGAGGGAGCATGGCTGGTTTGAGAATGGAAGCCTGGCATCGTGGTGGTATGCTCATTGGGCTTGCGCAGCACAGCCCCCTTCCTTTCTGGGAACTGGCCATTGCATCTGCCAGAGTCCGTCTGTCTGCTGCCAGTGCTGGTAGTTCTGCTCCCTTCTGACTTGACAGCTCTCCTCCCTGATGTCCCAGTCTGGACACATTGCTGTGGATACCTGGGCCTTGGGGTAGATCACACTGCAGATGGTGGAACTTGTCCATTTGTGTGATGATTGCATTTTCAACAGAATGGGTGGCTTTTTTTCCTCAAATCAGGACTCATGGTTATAAGTAACAGAAATCCAACTCAAAGTGGCTTAAGCAAAAGAAGCCATCAGGAATCAGTCTCTGTCTCCTGTCTACCTCTGCTGTCCCTGTCTACCTCACAGGTGGGTCTGGACCCTGCAGGGGCAAAACAACACCCAGCAGGGCCATGTATCACAGGAGCAAAGTCTCCCTTTCTGCATTGCTCCCAAGATCACCCGAGGTTGACTCTCTGCTCCCCTGAGTACCTGTGTCTGACGTAAGCACCGTGACCAAGGAGATGAGCTCATGACCTCAGCACAGCCTGGGCTCAGGTCCAGCACTGCATACATGTGACCAGAAAAGGTCCACACATGGAGACCAAAATGAGAATCAACCTGAAACACACTAGTGTATAGATGTGTGCAGCCTTAGAATTTTTCTCGCAGTTTAGAAATTTGGAGAGTCTCGTACTATTAAGAAATTACAGGCTCACACCTGTAATCCCAGCACTTTGGGAGGCCAAGGCGGGCAGATTACAAGGTCAGGAGCTTGAGACCAGTCTGGCCACCATGGCGAAACCCCATCTCTACTAAAAATACAAAAATTAGTTGGGTGTGGTGGTTCACACCTGTAACCCCAGCTACTTGGGAGACTAAGGCAGAGAATTGCTTGAACCCGGGAGGCAGAGGTTGCAGTGAGCCAAGATTGCACCACTGCCCTCCAGCCTGGGTGACACAGTGAGACTGTCTCAAAACAGAAAAAGATAAGGAGAGAAGGGGAGAAGGAGGAAAAGAGGGAAAGAGGGAAGGAAGGAAGGAAAGAAGGAAGGAAGGAGGGAGGGAGGGAGGGAAGGAAGAAAGGAAGGAAGGAAGGAAGGGAAAGAAAGAAAAAAAGAGAGAAAGAGAAAGAAAGAAGGAAAGAAAGAGAAAGAAAGAAAAAAGAGAAAGAAGAAAGAAAGAGAAAAAGAAAGAAAAAGAAAGAGGAAAGAAGGAAAGAAGAAAGGAAAGAAAGAAAGAAAGAAAGAAAGAAAGAAAGAAGAAAGAAAGAAAGAAAAGAAAGGAAGAAAAGAAAGAAAGAAGAAAGAAAAAGAAAGAAAAAAAAGAAAGAAAGAAAGAAAGAAAGAAAGGAAGGAAGGAAGGAAGGAAGGAAGGAAGGAAGGAAGGAGGAAAGAAGAAAGAAAGAAAGAAAGAAAGAAAGAAAGAAAGAAAGAAAGAAAGAAAGAAAGAAAGAAAGAAAGAAAGAGAAAGAAAGAAAGGAAAGAAAGGAAAGAAAGAAAGAAAAGAAAGAAAGAAAGAAAGAAAGAAAGAAAGAAAGAAAGAAAGAAAGAAAGAAAGAAAGAAGAAGGAAGGAAGGAAGGAAGAGAGAAAGAAAATAAGCCAGACATGGTGGCTCATGCCTGTAATCCCAGCACTTTGGGAAGTTGAGGCAGGAGGATCACTTGAGCCCAGGAGTTCAAGACTAGCCTGGCCAACATGGTGAAACCACAACTCTACAAAAAATACAAAAATTAGCCAGGCGTGGTGATGTGCTCCCGTAGTCCCAGTTCCTCAGGAGGCTGAGACAGAAGGATTGCTTTAGCTTGGCAAGTTGAGGTTACAATGAGCCATGATTGTGCCGCTGCATTCCTTCTGGGTAACAGTAAGACCCTGTCACCAAAATAAATAAATAAATAAACTAAACCATGATTCCCACAAGGCTTAGAAATGTACCAGCTTGGCCGGGTGCAGTGGCTCAAGCCTTTAATCCCAGCACTTTGGGAGGCCAAGGAGGACAGGTGACCTGAGGTCAGGAGTTCAAAACCAGCCTGCCTAACGTGAAATCTCGTCTCTACTGAAAATACAAAAGTTAGCTGGGCATAGTGGTTGGCGCCTGTAATCCCAGCTACTCGGGATACTGAGGTGAAAGAATTGACTGAACCTGGGAGGCAGAGGTTGCAGTGAGCCAAGATCATCCCACTGTACTCCAGGCTGGGCAGCAGAGCAAGACTCCATCTCAAAAAAAAAAAAAAGAAAGAAATGCTCCAGCTTAGTAACACACACACCCAAGAGACAGCACCCAATATGATCTCAAAAAATAACTTGGGCATTAGCCTGATGCCCATTTTCCCTACTGGAATCTCTAACATTGGGTTAGAGAGGGTCAATGCCCCACCTGCTGCCCCCATGATGGACTGTCCCAGTGTCTGAGCCAGCGTGAGTGTGAGCAGCAATGGGCTCCACGGACACACACACACGGTGTATGGAAAAGAGAGTGCAAGGACAAATAGCAGGTGCTAAACAGAGATTATCTTTAAATGGGAGGAAAACTGAGTATTTTATGGCCCTAAAGACAAATTGTTAGTGAATAAATAGAATATTTTGGTTGGAATTTAGTCTTCTTTTTAAGGAAAATTTGCTTCTTATTAGGTAGAAAACCTCTAAAAGGGATGATATTCACAGCAGCAGAACCACAGGTGGATTCAAGGGAGGAAATGACCTTGGAAGGAATCAGGAAGGCAGGAGCCCTGAGAGGCTGCAAGGACACACAGCCTGCCCTGGGTGGTGTGTCCTGTTCAAGATGGGCTTTTTCACATTGATGAGGCAGCCTGGGGCTAGAAAGCCTTTCCTCCCTGCTCCTCCCATTCACCTGCTGCCCCCCGCCCACACCCACACAAGCAGTGGCCCTGCATTATTGATGAGCAACACCAACGTGATGCTGACGATCACTCTGTGTCCTCCTAGTTCCCACTGAGGATCCCCAGGACGACTTCACCAATGAGCTCAGATGAGGCTGCCCCATGGCATTTGAAGGTCAGGCCACCTGGTTTTGTCTGAGAAAATGTTACTTTCTTAGCTTTATCTTATTGAATTAAAAAAAGATATGACTGTATGTAACATAGGTGACTTATACCGTGTCCTTGTGGTGGGAATTCTGAGTGAGAATCTGTTCCCCACTGAGGCTTGATTTTAGGCAGCAGGAGAAAGTGAGAGCATCAGCCATGCACTGAGAGGCAGAGAGCTGTTTACTCCACAGCTTAATTCTCTCCTTGGGGCAAAATCACTTCATTGCCAAGCCACATGACCTTGAGAGGAAACCCTCTCCAGAAAACTTTTTGAGTCCGTTGTCCTGTTCTTTTGTGTTCCTTTGACTTGATCACTGTTTCCCGTCTGGTCTTCTAATGTCACCAAGTGAAGAAAAGACCTGTGCACTCGGAACGCAGGATGGTCTGCAGCTCACGGTGTTTTTCTTTCTCTCAATATAGGCAGAGGAACCCACCAAGGAAAAAGTTGTGTATTCTGAAGCACTCCTTTGCTAAGGAAAGATCTTCAGTGTGGCAACTGGTGGCAATTCCTAGCTTTTTTCCTCCTAGCTCCCACTGAGGATCACCTGGAAGACCTCTGCAATCTCTGCTCACTGGAAACCGTGCCTCCTGGGGAGCCACTTTTGCGGGAGAACTACTTTGGTTTGAGCTTCCTGACAGAAATGAGGTTTGGACAGTTTGGGGTAAAAATACTGAGTCCATCCAGTAAAGAACCGTGACCATCCCTTCCAGTCCCTGGAGGCAGAATTGCCGTTTAGATGGAGTAGGGGGGTGTGCATCAGGGCGGGGAGGTATGAAGGAGACAGCCGTGTGGAGTGATTGGGAATGTCTTTGGGATTGTGTGTACATTTACCCAGAAAATTCAGAAAACCTTTCTAAAACATTGTATCACTACTGCACACTTCACATAAATTAACCCATTCATCCTCCACCACAGCTGTACCTGAAAGTAAAATGTTATATCCTCACTCCTCAGGTAGAAAGGGTGCAGACATAAATTTCCCAGGCTCTCAATCTCCTAAATGGAAGAGGCAAATGTGAACTCAGGAATGGGTGGAGGATTGATGCAGTGGGTTACTATCACGCATTCACCAGGTGGCCCTGGTATACTCCTCATTATGCTGGGCAGTTCTGGCATCTATGTGTGCATGTGGAAATATGATAGCCTAGAGAGGTCCCAAACACTGTTGTCATTGTAGGGAGATCTCAAAGGTTGCCTAACCCAGGGCAGGAATAGGTACATATCATACTGGGCTTTGGTGTGGTCATACATGTGAAACATACAGTGAGCTCACAGGACTTTGGGAGCAGTGGTAGGGTCATTTCTCAGCTCATGGTAAAAAACTGAGAATAATCAGGGACATACTCTATTGTGTTTAATAACAAGATCATCACAAGCCTTAGAAATGCTCCAGTTGGCCAGGTGGATGAGTCACGACTGTAATACTAGCACTTTGAGAGGCTGAGCCAAGTGGATCACTTGAGTCCAGGACTGGAGATCATCCTAGGCAACATGGTGAAACCCTATATCTACTAAAAATAAAAAAATTGCTGGGCACAGTGTCTCGTGCCTGTAATCCCAGCACTTTGGAAGGCCAAGGTGGGCAGATCACCTGAGGTCAGGAGTTTGAGACCACCCTGACCAACTTGGAGAAACCCCGTCTCTACTAAAAAAACAAAACAAAAAATTAGCTGGTGGTGACTCATGCCTGTAATTCCAGCTACTTGGGAGGCTGAGATGGGAGAGTTGTTGAACCTGGGAGACAGAGGTTGTGGTGAGCTGAGATCATGCCATTTCACTTCAGCCTGGGCAACAAGAGCAAAACTCTGTCTCAAAAAATAAAAATAAAAATAAAAGGGTCGGATGCAGTGGTTCACACCTGTAATCCCAGCACTTTGGTAGGCTGAGGTAGGAGGATCATGAGGTCAAGAGATCAAGACCATCCTGGTCAACATGGTGAAACCCTGTCTCTACTAAAAATACAAAAGCTAGCTGGGCGTGGTGGCACATGCCTGTAGTCCTGGCTACTTGGGAAGCTGAGGCAAGAGAATTGCTTGAACCCGGGAGACAGAGGTTGTGGTAAGCCAAGATCGCGCCACTGCACTCCAACCTGGAGAACAAGAGCAAAACTCCATCTCAAACAAATAAAATAAAAAATAAATTTTGAAAATTGGCTGGGTGTGGTGGTGCACCTGTAATCCCAGCTACCTGGGAATCTGAGTGGGGAGGATCACTTGAGCCCACGAGGTGTGGATGCCAGTGAGCAGAGATTGTGCCACTACACTCCAGCCTGGGTGACAAAGACCCTCTATTAAGAAAAATAAATAATAATATAATTAAAATAATTAATAATAATAAAATAATAATGATGCTTTAGTTGAAGAGTAAACACGCCGAAGACTCAGTACCAAATATAATCTCAAGAAACAGCTTGGGTGTTAGCCCCCCACCCATCTCCCCTTCGGGAACCTCCTGCACAGCTGGGTTGGAGAGGGTCAGTTTCCCCACCTGCTGCCCCCATGATGGGCTGTCCCAGTGTCAAAGCCAGTGTGAGTGTGAGCCGCAAGGGACTCCTGACACACACAGACATTGCATTGAGAAGATTGAGTGCAAGGATAGATAGCACTTGCTAAATAGGGGTTATCTTTAAGTGAGATAATAATTGAGTATTTTCAAAATTTTGTTTTATTTCTTTAAAACAAAAGATTAATGAATATATATTTTGGTTAGAATGAAATGTTCTCTCTGAACAAAAGTTGCTTTTTACCAAGCATAACATATTCTAACATGACTGATACACACAGGACCAGCACAGGTGGATTCTAGGGAGGAAATGACCTTCGAAGGACTCAGGAAGAGGTCAGATTAGGAGGCAGGAGCCCTGAGAGGCTGCAGGGACACACAGCCTGCCCTGGGTGATGTGCCCTGTTCAAGTTGGGCTATTTCACATCGATGAGGCAGTCGGGGCTAGGAAGCCTCTCTTCCTGCTCCTCTCCTGTATCTGCTGATGATCACTCTGTGTCTTCCTAGTTGCCAGGGATGAGTTCCAGAAAGATTTCAGCAACAAAAAATCAGATGAGGATGACCCAGGACATTTGAAGGTCAGGCTACCTGGTTTTGTCTGAGAAAAAGTTACTTTCTTAGGTTTATCTTATTGAATTAAAATAATATATGATCGTATGTATCATAGGTGACTTATACAGTGTCCTTGGTGGGGAGAATTTCAAGTGAGAGTCTGTTCCCCACTGAGGCTTGATTGTCACTCTTTGTCTTCCTAGTTCCCATGGAACTAGGGCATTCTGCAGTCCCTAGTATCAGCTGCCTTCTCTGTATGTGGGGTGAGGTTGTGTGCACAGGGCTGGTGTATGTTGGCCGAGGTTGGTGTATCCCAGAATCCCATTTAACTGGAGGGAGCCTCAAGCCCCTGGCCAGGGCAGCTGCATCACACTCGTTGCAGCAGAGGTGGGAGGGAAGCCAGTTCCAGTGCAGGATGAGCTCAGCAAAGGGAGGGGCTGCCCCAGAGCCCATGTATTCCTTGCAAATCTCCCTTGTGACCCATAAGACATTAGTTTGCTGGTTTCTCTGAGATAGGCTTGGATTTATCAGTCCCAAAGTCTGTGACCTGACATTCATGGGTGGAGGGATCCTAGCCATGGCTGGTCACTGTGAGGGCAGGGGTCGTGGCCTCCTTGTTCCTTCTCATCCCAGATCTTAGCCCCGGACAGCCCATCTTGGGGCCCCAGTGACGTTCTGATGATATAGCCTAGTGCTGAGATATATCATGAGTGTGAAAAGGCTTCCTGCTCACCCTCTGCAGTCTGCTCAGTCTCACGCAAATCCAGGTTCCTGTGTGGATTCTGATTCAGGGTCAGGGGGAAGTGTGTGGGCTTCCTCTGTGTTTGCTGTTGTGGTCCTGTGTTATCAGACCTCCTGCTCCTCCCAGGGCCCAGGGGATGGGACTCTGCCTGTGGATCCTTGAGCCTCCCCCTCCCTCTGCATCTGTTTCAGTATCAGGGGTCCAGCCCCCTGAAGGTGCCCGTGTGCGTGCCTGGGCTCAGTGCCTCCTGCAGGACATTTATAGACACTCTCTGTGCACAGGCAACCCTCTCAGAAAGCAGCACGCAGGCCTCAGAGCCCTATGGACAGACTCTGGGAAGGCCAGGGGCCCAAGGTCACCCTCCAGCTCTCGAGGAGCCCTCTGAGACCTGCACACTCACCCCAGGGAGCCCCTCCTCCCTCCACCTCTGTGCCCCCCAGGACCTTCGCACCTCAGTCTGTGTTGCAGATTTTTCAAACATCTGGAAGGATCTGGACACAAGACCTCACCCTGGCCCAGAGATCTTGATTGTGACACTTTTGAGGATTTTTAAAGAAATGGCTTGTGTATAGTTGAGGTTTTCTTTTATTTGTTGTGTCAGTATATTTGTCTTGTTACATTATTTTTGTTTTCATTCACTTGGTGCAAAAGTTATTGTGGTATTGGCCATTACTTAGAATGTCAAAAACGGCAATAACTTTTGCACCACATTAGCATATATTTGTTGTGGGTTTTATACTAAATAGTAGTTATCTCCTTTTGGTTGCTCTTAGAATATTTTCTCATGAAATGAAACCCACAGTGGGAAATCCCCCTAAGCAGAGGCAGAACTCACTGAATGAGAAAGCAGTCCTTTGGCTGGGCGTGGTGGCTTACTCCTGGAATCCCTGCACTTTGGGAGGCCTTTTGAGACCAGCCTGGCCAATATGGTGAAACCCCACCTCTACTAAAAATACAAAAATTAGCCGGGCATGGTAGCTCATGCCTGTAATTACAGCTACTGTAATTACAGGCGGCTGAGGAAAAAGAATCACTTAAACCTGGGAGACGGAGGTTGCAGTGAGCCGAGATTGTGCCAATGCACTCCAGTCTGGGGGACACAGTGAGACTTCTTCTAAAAAAGAAAACAAGAAATAAAAGAGAGAGAGAGAGAGAGAGAGAGAGAGAGAGAGTCACCACCACAATCTCTCCTCTCTCATATCTTCCTGATTTTGCCTCAATTGGACAAAGTACCAGCAAATTCACTCTGACCCTCTCTTCTCACATCAGCATCTTTTGAGTTCTTGTTGTCTGAAATCTGCTCCTTTTTCTGGAAGGGATCATGGTAACAGCATTCTCCGGGTGATTAATGAGAAGGCAGATGGCAGGTCCTTTCCCGTGGAGCAGTCGGCAAGGCAGGTGTTAGCATCCTGGCTCACCACACCCTCCTTGAGTGTCTTCAGTGTTTTTCTTCGTTTCTTCCTGGCACAGAGTTTTTCCCTCTCAGAGGTGGATTAGATTCTAATTTTCATTTCTTTTTTGTTTCTTTTTTGACGGAGTCTCACTCTGACACCCAAGCTGGAGGACAATGGCATAATCTCGGCTCACTGCAACCTCTGCCTTCTGGGTTCAAGTGATTCTCCTGCCTCAGTGTCCCAAGCAGCTGGAATTACAGGTGTGCACCTCCATGCCTGGCTGATTTTTATATTTTTAGTAGAGACACTGTTTCACCATGTTGGCCAGGCTGATCTGGAACTCCTGACCTCAGGTGATCTGTGCACCTTGGCCTACCAAAGGGAGATAACAGTCTTGGGATTACAGGCGTGAGCCACTACGTTTGGCCAATGCTCATTATTCTTTGGAAGAAAAGCTTACGCAGCATTTTTTTTTTTTAAGTTTCAGAAGACATTGGAATGCTTACTGTTCATATTTTCCTCATGCCTTGCTTTGATTGCTCTCTTTCAGGTACCTCAATCACGTACACATCAAATCTCAGATTATCTGCAAATTTGGCCACTTTCTCTGGAAGGTGCAAGCTATCATTATGTTGTCTTTAGCTTATATTTCATTGCTGAAGAAATTTTTTGATTGTGTCCTTACTCTTTCTGGAATTTTATCCACTCATTTCCATGTTTCCTTAATACTGATGAATGGTGTCTTTTTGAGCTTTGTATTATTTTCTTAATACCTTCAGCCTCATTACTGAAAAGTCCACATCCCGGCTGATGGCGGTGGCTCATGCTTATAACCCCAGCCCTTTGGGAGTCTGAGGCTGGTGGATCACCTGGGCTTGGCAGTCTGAGACCAGACCGACCAACATGGAAAAAAACCCTTCTCTACTAAAAATAGAAAATTAGCTGGGTGTGGCGGTGCATGCCTGTAATCCCAGCTCCTCAAGAGGCTGAGGCAGGAGAATCACTTGAACCCAGGAGGCGGAGGTTGCAGTGAGCTGAGATCATTCCATTGCACATAAGTCTGGGCAACAAGAGCAAAACTCTGTCTCAAAAAAAAGAGAAGAAAAGAAAAAGAAAAGCCCACAGTCCAGTGAGTTACACTGACAGGGGTGCTCTCCTGTCTCCTCGTGGGTTCACCCTGCACCTGCTCCTCTAGTCCATTAATTATGGTGTCTTTGTATGGTAATTGGCATCAGTATTTTCCCATTGAGGACTTTTCATATGGATTTTGTTTTCATGAATTTTCGATGAGCATTATAATTTAGAAAACCTTTTCCAACCTCATAGAGATTCTCTGTGGCATTTCTGTGCAATGCTCACAATTGTGATACCTGTTTCCTGGTATTTCCTAGCGCCGTGCTTCTCCCCTTCTCTAAAAGGAGCCTCTTCCCACTCTTCCTGCTGCTTCTGTCTTTGGATCCTGCAGCTGAATTTTGCTCCTCAGTGGACGACCTGTCCTGCAAAGGGACAGCCGCCACCATGTTACTGAATGCAGGATGATTCACTTTAAGTGCATAGTCATTTTCAGGATCATTTAGATAATTTTCTTCCTTTTCATTATTTCTTCTCTGACTTATTTATTTTACTTATCTTTATTTATCAGTATTATATTTCATGATGATTAATTTTTAGTTTTTTTCCAGTTTATTTTAGTTATGATTTTCTTTGCTTTTTGGTACTTACATTTGAGTTGTTTTGAGACTTAATTTTCTTTTTTTTTTTTGAGAGACTTAATTTTCACCTGATTTTAGATGTATCTATTTTCATGTGATTTGCTGTTTGTTATGGGGGTTTATCTCAAGGTACTGAGTGGCTGTTACTTATTTGGGATCCAGTGGATTCCCAGACATGCGAGGTCACGTCTAACTGGGCTGATAACTCTTTCCCCACACGGCTTTTGTGATTTTCAGGCACAGACAGCAGTGTTGCCACAGTGTACTGTGGATATCACAGGATCCCCACAGATTGTCCTTAAATACTTGCCCATGTTACATTTAAAAGTACCACTTTGGGAATAACTGCTGAAAAGAAAGAACTCTTCATGTTCCTTACTGATAGTTAAGAATGCAGTCCTCATATAAAAGCATGTCAGCCGTATTATGCCCTCAGTCCTCTCGGTGAGCAATTTGAAAACATTCCTAAGCCAAGGCTTTACAGGTATTCCTCCTTATCTGCAGGGTGTTGGTTTCAGGACCCCACAGATGCCAGTATCTGAGAACGCTCAAGTCCCTGATGTAAAGTTGCACAGCATTTGCATATAAGCCATGCTCATGCTCTTGTGGACTTGAAATCATGTCAGATTTCTTCTCATAGCCCGTAGAAGGGAAGTGCTGTGTAAACAGTTTTTGTCCTCTCTGACAGCCCCAATCCCCACCCACCTTGCCTTTTGCCTCCCTTCTGTGTGACTTTTCCTGAGCTGTATACTTTAATACAAAATAAACCTGTGCATGAATGTAAAGTGCTTTTCTGAGATCTGAGTCATTCTGACAAACCTGAGGGGGGTGTTGTGGGAACCCCTGAATTGCTGTCTGCCAGGCAGAAGTCTGGGCAGCCTGGCCACCCCCTTGGTGGCTGGCATCTCAGTGAGGGTAGTGTTGTGGGAGCGAGGGTGTAATCATACACCTGTCAGCCATTCATACGTCATCCTTTGAGAAATGTCTATTCAGGTCCATTGCTCGTTTCTTTTCTTTTTTTTTTTTTTAGGTGTGCGTTTAGCTTTAATAGACACTGTCAGACAGTTGTCCAAAGTTACACCCACACTGTATGAGAGTTCCAGTTGCTCCACATTCTCCCCCATACTCAGTATTCATTCTTTTAAGTTTTTAGATTTCTGGTAAATGTGTAATGGTGTCTTGTAGTTTAAATTTTCACCTTCCTGAAAAATAATGATGTTGTCCATCTTTTCATACACATAATGGCCATTTGGATATTCTCTTTTGTGTGGTACTTGTTCAAGCCTTTTGCCCATTCTTTATAAAAATATTTTTGTATTATTTTATTTGTATACATTTTTATAGATTCTGAATAGACCCCTTTATCAGATAGACAGATAATGATAATATTATCCTTGCTTGTGATTTGCCTGTTCACTTTTTTATTGGTATTTTTTGTAAACAAAAAATGTATTTCCATGCAATCCAATTGTTTTTATCCTTTTATGGTTATTGTGTTTTTATCCTGTTTAAGAAATCTTTGCCTACCCTAAAGTCAGGAAGATTCTCTTCTATGTTTTCTTCTAGAAGTTTGATTTTTTAAATTTGATATTTATATTTATGAGCAACCTTGAATAATTTTCAGATACGGTGTAAGGTAGAGGTCAAGTGTATTATTAGTTCATTTTCACACTGCTGTTAAAGACATACCTGAAACTATGAGTGAGAACATGTGGTGTTTGATTTTCCGTTCTTGTGTCAGTTTGCTGAGAATGATGGTTTCCAGGTTCATCCATGTCCCTACAAAGGACACGAACTCATCGTTTTTTATGGCTGCATAGTATTCCATGATGTATATGTGCCACCTTTTCCCTGTCCAGTCTATCATCAATGGGCATTTGGGTTGGTTCCTGGTCTTTGCTATAGTAAACAGTGCTGCAGTGAACATTCATGTGCACGTGTCCTTATAGTAGAACGATTTATAATCCTTTGGATATATACCCAGTAATGGGATTGCTGAGTCAAATGTAATTTCTATTTCTAGGTCCTTGATGAATTGCCACACTGTCTTCCACAATGGTTGAACTAATTTACACTCCCACCAACAGTGTAAAAGGGTTCCTGTTTCTCCACATCCTCTCCAGCGTCTGTTGTCTCCCGATTTTTTCATGATCGCCATTCTAACTGGTGTGAGATGGTATCTCAATGTGGTTTTGATTTGCATTTCTCTAATGACTAGTGATGATGAGCATTTATTCATGTTTGTTGGCCTCATATACGTCTTCTTTTGTAAAGTGTCTGTTCATATCCTTCACCCACTTTTGAATGGGCTTATTTTTTTTTCTTGTAAATCTGTTTTAGTTCTTTGTAGATTCTGGATATCAGCCCTTTGTCAGATGGGTAGACTGCAAAAATTTTTTCCCATTCAGTTGGTTGCCCATTCACTCTAATGACTGTTCCTTTTGTGATGCAGAAGCTGTGGAGTTTGATTAGGTCCCATTTGTCTATTTTGGCTTTTGTTGCCAATGCTTTTGGTGTTTTGGTCATGAAGTTCTTGCCTACGCCTACGTCCTGAATGGTTTTGCCTAGGTTTTCTTCTAGGGTTTTTATGGTGGTAGGTCTTATGTTTAAGTCTTTAATCCATCTGGGGTTTATTTTAGTGTAAGGTGTTGGGAAGGGGTCCAGTTTCTGCTTTCTGCACATGGCTAGCCAGTTTTCCCAACACTATTTATTAAACAGGGACTCCTTTCCCCATTGCTTGTTTTTGTCAGGTTTGTCAAAGATCCGATGGTTGTAGACGTGTGGTGTTGCCTCCGAGACCTCTGTTCTGTTCCATTGGTCTATATCTCTGTTTTGGTACCAGTACCATGTTTTCAGCTTTGTTCTTTTTGCTTAGAATTGACTTGGCTATGCGGGCTCTCTTTTGATTCCATATGAAGTTTAAGGTGGTTTTTTCCAGTTCTGCGAAGAAAGTCATTGATGGGGATAGTGTTGAATCTGTAAATTACTTTGGGCAGTGTGGCCATTTTCATGATATTGATTCTTCCTAACCATGAGCATGGAATGTTTCTCCATCTGTTTGTGTCCTCTCTTATTTCATTGAGCAGTGGTTTGTAGTTCTCCTTGAAGAGGTCCTTTATGTTCCTTGTTAGTTGTATTCCTAGGTATTTTACTCTCTTTGTAGCAATTGTGAATGGGAGTTCGTTCTTGATTTGGCTCTCTTTAAGTCTGTTATTGGTGTATGGAAAAGCTTGTGATTTTTGCACATTGATTTTGTATCCTGAGACTTTCCTGAAGTTGCTTATCAGT